CGCCACAGATGGTAGCTTGGCACTAGCAGCAGCTCCAGCCTGAGCACAACCCCTTCCTGCTGTTGCTGCTGCCTTTCCCAACCCCCCACCCTCCCAAAACCTCTTTTTCTTTGAAACCCTACCCCCCCCATGCTCTCCCAAGACATCTTCTCTTATCAATCACAATCTCCATAGGATAGCAAGTACAGGCAGCATGGGGCACCATGCCCAGGCAGCTTCTCGTAACAGAGAGCTGCATACATCTATTCTCTGAGGCCACCATTATATGCATTAGACATTATACTATATAATGCATAAAGGACATCATATTGTCTTTTGTTGTCCTGTTTTGGCAAGAAGGTTATTCTTATTAACAGGGTTGTGTTGGCTTGGAGGGGGACTAAATAACAGTGTTCGCTCTCCTGCTGGTCAACTGGATCAGCTGCTGATCGGCTGGCGGTGAGTGATGCCTTTGGTGTCCTGTTACTGGACAGCTGGAGGGGCTGCTATTAGCTCCCAGTGATCTGAACATGCTCCCTGAGTGTACAGGCTGGCTAGAATCCAGCTGTAGATCCTACAGCTGACTTCTGGGGTAGGGAGGAGGGAAGGCTGCAGATCACTTTTTCAGGCAATGAAAATAACATTTATAGACCAAAAGATGTAGCATATGCATGCTTAGGCACTACTGACCATGCTCACAAAGCACTTGGATAACTTCTCTGTAGCCAAAGCACTTGACTTTGTTACAAGGAACTACATTTCTCCATTTCCCAAGCATGGGGAATGCTGTTCTTGAAATAGCAGAGCAGAGGCTGCTATGGTTAAATTCTGAGCAGAAATAATTGGCGGGAAGGCGGGGGGAGCGGCAGGGAGAAGCCACTCAATTCATGATGACATCAAGTTCATTATAAGCAGGATAAATTTCGGTTCTGAGAATTAAGCTAGACATTCCTCAATACAGCATGTGTTATGCATCCCAGTTTTCCCTTTATTACAGCTGATGTAGACATCTTTCTAGAAAATGCAGTTCAGTGAGAAGGAATAGTTTTTTCTCCCTAGCGATCAGAGCCAACTCTCTTTCCTTATCTTTCACACACACACACACACACACACACAGAATACTTAGTTAGCACCTATACTTTTGTTATAAACGCTCTTAGTATGCCATGGGGGAGGTCCATTACAATCATGCTGGGGAGGAAAGGGTAAAACTTCACCTCCTTATAAGAGTCCCCCTTTCTCCTTCATTCGGCATTTGTAATGAATCCAGAGAAAACAGGAGGTATCGTTGCCTGCTAAATATTAAGGGAACATTTGATTAGGCTCTGAGATAGATAATTAAGAACTTTGTGCTTGCATTTGTTATCACTTGTTATCACTTGCCCAGGAGATGAGAGCTGGTGAGAAAATATGTGTCCTCAGCTGCTGTGAAACATGTTGGATGTGACAGTCCCTACCGACTCATGTAAGCTGGCCATTGGCAAATCTTGGTGTTTCACTCAGAAGCTGAATTATGGGAAAAGCTAGGAAGCCAAAATCTGTAAACCCTCCCTCTTAATGTGTTCTCAAAAAAACATTAGCTGGGGATTTACTACAATAATCTGAACACTGTTTTACTGCCAATCACAACAGGGGACATATGTCATATATTTCTAGCATCTCCCTTTACTTTCCATTGAAGAGGCTCAGAATATACCAGCAGACTGGAGCCTACGCCATTATTTCTAAAGGCTCCAGCAATGAGGTGATGCCTGTATTATGAATGTAGTTATGTGTGCCTTTTTTAAGATAATGCAGGAGACTGTAAAGCCTATAATACCGCA